TCTTCCTTACTTTATAACTTTTTTAACCTTTGCTCTTCTAACTTAAACCAAATGTAGTTCAAAAGCAAGCTTGGTTTCCCACCTTAAATGTAAAAAGCCAGTATCATTTGCTGTAATGGAAAGGTGGTATCCAGGAAAAAAAAAAATACAGTGAAGATTTTTTAAATTTTTAATTTTTTCCAGTTTTATTGAGATAGAATTGACATAAAACCCTGTTTTAATTTAAGGGGTACAATATGATTTATGTCAATATTGAGAAATGATCGCCACAGTAAGTCTAGTTAACATCCATCACCTCACATAGTTACAGATTTTTGTGTGTGTGTGATGAGAACTGTTAAGATTTTGCTCTCTTAGCAGCTTCTATTTTTTGTTTTGTTTTTTTCTGGCCGCGCCGTGCGGCACGCAGGATCTTAGTTCCCTGACCAGGGATCAAACCCACGCCCCCTGCGTTGGGAGTACGGAGTCTCAACCACTGGACCGCCAGGGAAGTCCCTTAGCAACTTTCAAATGCACAGTCCAGTATGTTGTTACTGGAGTCACGATGCTATACATGACACGCCCAGGACCAATTTATCTCATAACCGGAAGTTTGTCCCTTTAGGCCCTTTCACTTAGGTGAGGGTGTTTTTTAAGTGTACGTTCTCCGTTTGGTCAGCTGGTTAGTTGGTTGGTCTGAGTTTTTTGGGTTTTGTTTTTTCACCCGTTGAAGGCTCTGAGCTAGAATCCTCTCCTGTTGGAGAAGTTCAAGTTGGTCAGACACGCTGGAGACTTTCTTGCTGACGCAGTAAGAACTGGTAGTAAGAACTCACTCCCAGCTCCTCGTGGCGGCCCATGACCGAGGGCTGGCGCTCCGGCAGAGCCAGGCGTGCGCGTGCTGCTCCCTTCAGGAGAACCACCTTTCGGGAAATTCTGCCTTCGAGCCTGATTTCTTAACCTTTTGTAGGTCTCAGGTGCCTCTGGGACTCTGATGAGTACCCTACACGCTCCCCAGAACAAAGTACATACACATAGACCCAAGTTGCCCACAGTTTCAAAGGGTTTATGGACCCGCTGAAGCCATTAGTGGACGCCAGGTAGGAACCCTTGCCCAATTCTTTGCCCCTCCCTCGTCCCCTGGCTCCCACCCCCGGCTGGAGAGGCCCACCTCTCGCTTCCCATCACCCTTCCTAACAAGTTCTCAGCTTCCTGCCCTGGGCGGGCGGAGAAGGCTAGCTGAAGGCGTCAATGAGGCTGCCCGTTTGAAACGGGTTTTAAGGGCTGAGCATTCCTTTTTCGGGTGGACGGACGTGGGGAAGGCAGGCAGGTGGGCAGGCACGCAGCTTAAACAAAGGCTCAGGGACTTGAAGCACCTGGTAGATTTGCAGAAGGCAAGAGGGCACCCAGGGAGGGTGATGCCGGCTGGACAGGTGGGCAGGGCCTGGAGAGGTTTCAGCCAGGTCCAGGAGTTTGGCCTTTACCCTCATGTCCCTCACCCATGCCCTCTGATTTCACTGGCCGGGCGGGCTTGGGAAGGAGACCTACAGCCTCGGCCCCGTGACAGCCGCCGCCTGAGCCTCACCCCACTCTTCTCTCTCTGCAGGTGCATTTCTCATACCATATTTCATTTTCCTGTTTGGGGGCGGCCTGCCTGTGTTTTTCCTGGAGGTAATCATAGGCCAGTACACCTCCGAAGGGGGCATCACCTGCTGGGAGAAAATCTGCCCCTTGTTTGCCGGTGAGTGTGGGGCAAAGGTCACCTGGGGCCTGGTGTTCGTCGG